CCGCGCCATTCCAAGTCGACCCGCCTGCGCCTAGCCGTGCCAGCGAATATCGTTGCCCCATCGACGCCAACATTCAGTTCGCTACCCAAGATGGGGGCGGCGCATCATACGTCGTTCCAGATACAGTAGGCCACCAGTCGGACAATGATGGAGCAGTTCGCTTCAGATTGGAGGCAGCGGAATGGGACGATCCTCGTGGCAACGCTGAGAGGACGGCCCTTCGCGGACACCTGCGTGATTCAACACCCACGGTTGTCGCTAATGTACCTTGCTTCCCCGAGGCGGATTCAAGGTCAGGCAGCTCTCCTGAAAGAGTCGCGAGTGCACCATCGGCTAGGATGCCGCCAAATCCTGGATTCTCAACTTCAAGACCTGAGGACAGGTTTAACGCCACACACGAGTCCCATAACGTTGGCAGCGACATCGCTTCCCATATGGTGGCATCAAACCTTGGTGATTCGGTCAATAGTACGACTGTAGTTCCTCAGAGAATCCGACTTGAAGCCACTGTTCCCTCGAGCTTCGTTCCAACATCTGTCCGTAGTGTCAGCTCAGTCATGAACGCAGCTTCAATTACCCTCACCAACGGTCCAAGTAATCACACACTCCCCCCATGGAGGTGGGCATACATACCTCAGCAAAGACACCCTGTTCGCCCCACAGGACAACAACGGACACCATCGCTAAGCTGTCGACAGCTCCTTCAGCAGCGCTTGCAGAAATACAAACTCGGCGCAAAATTTGACGTCGAGTATACGGGACCACAGCACGCTCAGTCTTGGAGTATCACGTTCAAGATTGGCGACTATGAGGTTGGGCGGTCTTCATGGCACAGCAGTAAAGATGCGGCAAAGGAGGAAGCTGCCAGTTGTGCACTGGCTTGGATGAACCAGTATGGATACCCTTAGTATGGCTGTAAGAGGTTTTCAGTAAGCAACATGTAACTATTATCAGGATACGTACAGCCTATCGTGCAGGTATGCTGCCTTCAATGATAAACTATTATCAACCCTCGAAATGGGGCCTCAGATTGGTACGTGGTGAGGACGGCGATTTAGGTTTGGTGTACAAATGAATGACCGTAGACAGCCGATCT